ATAATAAATATTGCCACTGGAAGACAAAGTAAGGAAATGCTGAACATTTTCTATTCAGGCAGGCTGTAGGATTTTTTAATTTCCAATCCTGTTTTTTTTGTTTTTTGGTTGCTTTTTGTTGTTGTTGTTTTTGTTTTTGTTTTTAACAGAGCAGTGGTTGTTAAGTTTTATCCTAATTATACATGGCCAAACGGGAGGATGGCAAACTGTTTCAGAGAAATAGGGAGGCACAAAATGCAAATGCCTGTGCATTCTGCCTGTCAAAACACACCTGAGATTAACCCGCACACAGAAGCATAGCTGAGCAAGTGGGAATCCCCCTTTGCTGAAAGGGGATAGGGGAGTGGATCCCAGGCATCTTAGCAATGAAAAATGAAATGCATTGGCAACGACACCTCAATTTCCGTTTTTCTGCAAACTCCGATATTGCTACACTAAAAAATACCCCCCAAAACAACTACCAACTCGCTACCCCAATTCCCAGCAGAGGCAAATGACAGGGGCTGTGGTCTGCCTTCATTGTTATGGTTTTCTGCAGCAGCAAAGAGAAGGCAGAGGGGACTGCCAAGAGTAAAGGCACAGAATTGCACCATTTCCCCCCTGCCTTTACCAGCCCCAATTTCCTTTACCGGCCCACCCTCCCGTGGCCATCTACCCAGGAAAGGTGGGCTGCACTTCCAGACTAGGGAGTCTGATGCCCATAGGTTCCATTTTCCATTCCCTTCCTCAGTGACTGGGTTAGACAAGGGCTCAGGCCACGGTGCTAACCAATTACATGTGAGAGAAACGCTTGGAGACATTTCCTCAAACCGAGGAGGCTCATGGGAAGACAGGCCCCTGCTCCTCAGCGCCATGGAGCCACTTTCTGCTTCCAGCTTCAGGACCAGGATGGCAGAACCAAACGATGGAGAAACCTGGGTCCTCCATGACATCACTGAACAGTCAACAACGCCAGGACCTACTGCACTCTGACCTGATGACATTCCGCAGATTTCTCCTCATGTTGGCCATTCTGCATTGGGATTCCCATTGCCTGCCGCTGAAAGCCCCGGATGGATACAGTACCCAGGCCAGGACCATCCCTGCCCCCGGCCCTGCACAGTCTCCTGCTCTCGAGTTCTTGTCACACCCAGAAAACATACTCCTATTCTAGTATTTTATGCCCAGGACTGGCACATTTCTGATTGTTAATATTCTCCTACTGGCTCCCTATGGATGCAGAATTCTCTGCACCTCCTGGTCTTTCCATCTACGCTTCTTACTGCCTGGGATTTTTTTAAATATTATCTTTATTGTTGAAAGTATTACAGATGTCCCCCATTGACCCCTTCCACCCTGCACCTCCCCCAGCTTTCACCACACTACTGTCCAGGTCCATAGGTTCTGCAGACGTGCATTTAGAACTGCCTGCTACTCTCCTCTTCATCTTAGTGACTCCACACACTCAAGCACCTCTTCTTCTGTGTCACTTCTCCCAAGACTCTCAAGTGGCCACGGGTCAGTTACTGACACAAATCTGAGAAGAACCATGAACTTAGAAATGGAGAACAGCAGACACAACGCAACCCAAAGATGATGGATTTCTTTATGAAACTAATTTTCCCAGAAGAAAAATAGACATCTCCTTCAACACAAGGGTGCACTCCGATTTGTTTTTCATATTAGTAGCTTATTTAATATGGCAGTGGGCATGAGGCAATCCATTAAAAAGCAATTTCCCTCTTACCACAGGCTGTTTCATCATCGGATGCCTGGTACTCGATCAAATGTAGCAGCCCTTTAATATTTTATGAGCAGAAAACAACTCATTTGGGCATGTTGCCCTCAGAGACACACAAGTCTTTTATTAGCCTTGCAGAATGTCCAAGGAGGGGCTTTGCAATAGATGCTGAGCAACTGGTCAACCTGAAACCTTAACTATCAAAACACTGCAAAAACCAGGCTTAGAACTGAAAACAGGCATTTAAATATATATATATAAATGTGTGTGTGTGTGTGTGTGTGTGTGTGTGTAAATATATATGTGTGTGTGTATAAATATATATACACATGCATGTATATTAGATACACATATACATACATATAGACATAGACATACCATATACATGCATGTTTGTGTATTTATACACATATACATACATATATGTGTATATGTGTGTGTGTGAGTGTGTATGAAATGACTTATAACTAATAGGAAAAAGTCCCAACTCAATCTTATACTTTCTGAAGTGGAAACCTCTGGGATCAGGGACCATATCTCGTTGACCTTTTCACTGGCCGTGTCCATCAGTCCCTGGCACATTATAAGTAGTCGACAGACTTTTATGGAACAAATGAATGAATGAGGGAACCTGCTCTGCATATGTGAGGGCCTTGCTGACCGAGCTCGGCTTCACTGCAGAGACCAGCCCTGGCCAGGTGCTGAGTGACCTGTGGCAGAATGTTGACAGCCATCCTTCCAGCAGAAGGTGCGGAACAGAGTAACCTACAGTGCAAGGGCAGCGGCTGGGGTACCTGGAGCTCCCTAATATATCTACCTGCGTCCCCACTCTAATATCTCAGCCCACAGAGCTGGCTTGACTACCAGGTTCTCCCAGATCTAGGAGGGCTTCTCTGTACCCACCCCATTGCCCAACTCCTAAACCCCAGAGCTGACATTCACTGTCTGCGCAGACTTTGCCACCACATTGCCCACCAGGTAGACCTCAGTGATCCACATCGACTCTGTCCTCACACTGCCTGGCTGTGTCTTTTCCAAGTTAGTGCCCTTGTGTTGAATATTCGCTGTTCCCAGGGGATCCCTTCAACTCCTCTGACTGCAATCCCAGCCACTGAAGTTACGACAAACAAGCCAAGATGAGCACAATGCTAGTCCCGTGTGCTTAAGGATGAAGACGTTCTGGGAAAGGTGCCCACTGGCAATTCTGTCACCAGATATCAAAGGGTGCACTTTGCAAACCTGAATGATGCGCCCACTACACACCTTGCTGCACAGTTCAGCCTCGTGCTCTCGGCTACCAGGCTGGACAGCATGTTCCTCCCAACCCAACGTGAGATTAGACCAAGCACAAGAGGAAATGGTGCCGTCAAGAGACTTGGTAAACAGTATGCATGCTCTGGATGCCGGCTCAACACAACATGCTATCGAGTATGTGCAGTAAGGACTCTATACTATTAGTATAAAGTGTGGAGGGTAAGAGCACAGTGAAATCTGTGAGCACATTAGACAAGGATGTCAAGGCAGGGGCAGAACCCAGCTGCCCATTATTCCTGACGGTCTCCTTGTCCTCCACCATCTCTGTTCTGTGTAAACTTTCAGCAGTAGAGACATATGTCCATTGGGCAGAGAAGAGCAGGGAGCTGGGTATGGCAGTCCAAGTGCAGGAGGATATCCCTTTTGCAGCCACTAGGATGAGAGCTGAGAGATGAAGTTGGCCTTCTGGGAGAATGGGCAAGGGGAGGGGCAGGAAAGGACACCATTGGCACTGACTAGGATTCAAGAGCACGATGGGTAGATCATGACAGGCAAAGCATGACAGGTACAGGATGAGTGGTAGAGCATGATGGGTAGAGCATGACGGGGAGATCTTGAGGGGTAGAGCATGAGTCTCCAATTTCGAAAGATCTTAGTTTGCAATGCTCTTTTAGCCACGATTTTCCACAGTGTTCCCATGAAGTTGAGACTGACATGAAATAGTCACAGTTGGTAGGCCAGGGAGTTCAGTAGGATTGGATTGACTCAGGACCTTGACCCACAGAGAGCCCTGACAGGCAGAGCATGACGGAAATCTCAGCAAGAGAGTCTGAGGACGAGCAGGCAGAGCATCACATCTGGGCCAGGTGAACCGACATGTCACATCAGCCAGCAGAGACCGGCGCAGACTGACACACAACTCTCCCAGGCCGGCCTGCTCCAGTCACGGAGAAAGGCCCGGACTGGGGCTCATCAGTCACGAACTTTACGGCAGCTCCCTCAGTGTCTGCTTCCCGCCGACTCGGAGGGAAGTGTGACTGCTGTGCTTCGTCAAACAGGCTCAGCATCTTAGTCTTTTCCTGCTAAGTCCTGAATGTTCTGGTTTCCTTTAGCCATACTGTGGTCAGCTCTACACTGCCAGGAAAACAGCCCCCTTTCCAACTGCATCACCAGAACTGCCCCCATTCATCACCTCAGCTCTCCAGCAGGTGACTGAGTGTTTACGCTTCCGCAGGAACACCGAACACCCAGCATTCCCCTGGTGCCAGCAGGTCCCCTGGGCCCCCTTTACCGAGCTCACAGGGGAAGACTGATGTGCGTGTCAGTCCGGGGTGGTGGAGGGGATGGAGGTGGACACCTTACGGAGGCTCAATAGTGATGATCACTGTCGGCCAGGTTCCACCCGACTCACTTTCACAGATTAAAACCGAACGATGCCAATAGGCACAAGGGAAGACAACGGTCACGCCCTCTTGTGGGCGTTCTCGCTTAAACTGTGAATAGAAGAAGATGAGCAAGCAGCGTATCTCTTCCCATACGTTTCATGGGCTGCTACCCATTTTCTCCAATAATTCCTTCTTTCTTAGAGAAGGCATTTAAACAAGTGGAATACTGGTAGCAGAGGTTCCATGAAGGCACTCCATTTTTCCTTTAGAGAGAAAATCTACTGCAAAGGATAGAAAAGTAGGCTAGAAACTGAATTTTTTTTTAAAAAAAAAAGAAATTCATAGGTCTTTTTCCTACTACATTCAAGGCTGTCTTACTACATACTCATTTTTATAAAATTTGAAATTCAGTCACGATACCTGCCATTTTTCCATCCTTACAGGTCTTAACCGCATTTATTCGCAGAGCAGACACACAGAGATACCTAAGCCGAATGTGAGCCAAAGGAAGTCCGGTGCGCGTGACCCCAGGAAGAGCCGGCAGCTCGCGGGGAGTTGTTCGTGGGGCCAGGGCCCGGCCCTGGGAGCCGCTCTCCGCCCAGCAGCCCAGCGTCCTCCCCGCGGGCAACAAGGGTACTCACGCAGCTCGCCCACTTTGAGGATCTCACACAGCATCTTGGTCAGCTCGATGCTACTGCGGCCGAAGGGACATTCGTGCTTGTCTTCTCGGCTGCTGTTCTCCAGCACAATCTGCAAGCAGGAAGGGGACGGTCACAGAGGGCAGGGCTGTGCCTGAGCAGAGCAACAGCCACCAGCTCACCAAACCAGGCGCCGGGGCCGGGCCACTCTGTCCTCTCGGCGTGTTCTCAGCACACACTCAGGAGCCAAAAACCCACCCAGGTTCCCCACCTCCCGAAGCCCGCTGCACCCTGGGAGAGGATGCTCTGTTGTTGGTTGTCACTTACAGAGATGCCTAAGAGAGAATTGTTGTTGCTGTTAATTGTTGCCCAGGGATATTTTTTCCATTGTGTTGTTTTTAGTAAGAGTGGAAGGGTGGGTGGGAGAAAGAGAGAGAGAGAGGAATGTCAATGTGAGAGAGACACAAAAATTGGTTGCCTCATGCACATGCCCTGACCAGGGCTGGGCATTGAATCTGAAACATAGGTAGGTGCCCTTGTCTGGGAATGGAACCTCCAACCCTTTGGTGCACAGGCTGGCGCTCTAACCATTGAGATACCCGGGCAAGAGAGTTTTGCAAAATAGTACATTAGAAAAAAAAATTTTAATATATTTTATTGTTTTTTTTACAGAGAGGAAGAGAGAGGGATAGAAAGTTAGAAACATCGATGAGAGAGAAACATCTATCAGCTGCCTCCTGCACACGTACTGGGAATGTGCCTGCAACCAAGGTACATGCCCTTGACCGAAACCGAACCTGGGACCTTTCAGTCCGAAGGCTGACGCTCTATCCACTGAGCCAAACTGGTTTTGTCTAGAGAACTTCTTTATTTAAGTGATGACATAACTCCCCTTGTAATGACAACTGAGACTCGGAAGCTAACTGTGAGGTTTAGACAAGTGAGGGCCCTGCCCCGCCTGGTTCTGAAAGGGGGAGCACATGTGGGGACTACACTGAGTGTCAGCAGGAGCACAGCCTGAACTGCCCTGGAGTTCTGATAAAACGTCTTCCTCGCAGCCTCCTTGGGAAGCACCGGTTCTGGGCTGGTGTATCCTGAAGAGACTGCAGGTAAACTTCATCCCAAACCCTTCTCCCGCCGACCTGGGAAGGCCACGGCGGGGCCCTGGAAAGTCTGGTTCCTCCTCACGGTCCGGCTCTCCTGCACAACCTTCCTGAACAGAATCCTTTCTGGTCCTAGCCAGGAATCCCAGCTCAGGAAGCAGAGGCAGAACAATGAAATTCCCACCCTCGGGGAGTCTACTTCCCTTTGACAAATCGTGTCTCGGAGACACAGGCATCCAGGATGAGCCTCCTGATGAGGGGCCGTGAACGGAGAAACAGCAGAAGATGGGACATAAAGACAGGAGACAGGTGGTCTCCAGCCCGCTCCCAGCAGCACCTTCCCCTGCACCTCACATTAACATCCGATTAACATTTCATGAGCACATCAATATTTAATGAGGCTGCAATCTGCATACACTGTCGGTAGAATTACTGCAGCCAGTAAAAGCTCTGGAAACATTTCCAAGGCGCAGTTTATTAGCAGGCACTAAATTAAGGAGTAATTTAAGTAATCAATATGTAAAGCAGCCCCGAGAATCCCTGCTCTACTCTTTAACACGCCACCCGTCTTCCCGCGTTAGCCCACCACCAGAGGAACAGCAGACCCTCGCCCCGGGCTGATGTCCTTAGACACAGCTCTTCAGAGGTGCCTGGGCAGGTTTTCAGGTCAACACTCTTGCAGAAATATTTTGGAAAAGGCTATGATGATGAGTGTTACTAATTAGATATTACTATAATGAGAAACAGTTCTTACACTGGACGGTAGTTTCTCTAAAATTTAAAGCACTGCTAAATCAATATTCAATTCCAACATTCTGGTATTAACTGTGTTGGCCTAAAACAGTTTGAAAAGTCCCATTTAGAAATACCAGGGCCTATTTTTCATCTTTATGTTCCCCTCCCTCTTCGGTCCTAAGAGCAAACACACTGGGACAGACACCATGATGGATGGAGCATTAAAACCTGCTATGGCGACTCACCTTAGAACAAGTCACACACCTAAGGAAGCCGTAACTGCCGCATGCTTTATAGAACACAGCATGGGTATTGGTGCAATATCAAGTACCACACGTTGTATAAAATACTACAGTTTACAGGGTGTATACACATATATCTGCCCACTGATCCTCGGGAAGTCGGTGTGATTGACAGGCAGATATTTATTAGCCTATTAAAAATGCTGAAACGAGAGGAAGAGGTGAGCTGCTTGGATCTGTAAGTAGCCGTGGCTGGTCCTGGAATGCAATTTCTGGGATTTTCAATTTCCAAATCTCTTTCCGCCCGGTCATAGCTTACAATCGCTTCACATCCAGGCCGCCATGAACTCCATGGATTTCATGTCAGGGGCTAAGAGAACCTGATTCATGTCCTCCACTCACTGAAGCGAGTCTACACATCCAGGCCCTCCTGGACGAATGACCCAGGGTCTCCCTGTCATTTGTCCCTGAAGACAAGTGGCAATCTCTCAGGTCAGTGGCCGGAGCTATGCAAACAAGAGGTTGCAAAAATGCTGACTGAATTCCCAGGGGCCCAGATCACGAACAGGTTTGGCACGGGTGTGACCACTAAACACTTAGTACCTGGCCCGCTGCACTCAAACCAGCTCCTCCCTGCCCCTGAGCACCTGCTCTCTCAGCCTGCACGGGCCTGATCCAGCTGGCTGTCATGGACACCTCCCTCCCCTGCTACAGGTGCTCCCGTCGGGGGCAAGGCCAATCCTCCCTGTGTCGCTGAGCCAGGCCCGGAGTGGGCTGGAGGGTGTCTTCCACACCCTTCACCTGAGAAGCTTCTGTCCATGCTGCTTCGACTCTGAGGGTCACGAAGCATCATGGTCTCCTCATGGCCACCACGGACCGTGCATAAACGTGTGCTGTGGTTACATAATCTTATGCTTTATAAAGGACCCCCCAGTAGTTCCAGTCCCCGCCTGGCACCATCCCCAGCTAATGCCATGGTAGTGACTGTATCCCTGTGCTGTCCTGTACATCCTGTGACTGTTCTGTGATGCCAACCTGCACATCTCAATCCCTTCACCTTTCCCACCCCGCTCCCCACCTGGCTCCCCTCTGCAGCCACCAGTCTGCTCTCTGTATCTGAGTCTGTTTCTGTTTGGCTTGTTCATTTGTTTTGTTCCTTAGATTCCACGTGGATGTGAAATCACATCCTGTCTAACCACAAGACTGTGCCCAAACAAAATAATACCAGAAGTGAACTGGAAGGGAAAAATAACCCAGCCGGTGCAGCTCAGTGGTCGAGCATTGACCTATGAACAGGAGATCATGGTTGGATTCCCGGTCCAGGCACATGCCTGAGTTGCGGATTCGATCCCCATAGATGAACGGAGAGGGTGAGAAAGAAGACAACTGGTCTGCTATTGCTATCCTGATCACATGACCTCTTGTTCTAGGTGTTGCTGTCTGCTTTACAGAGATGTTCATCAGGCTGTAGGGTCAGTTCTCGAGAAAACACCCCACAGAGAACAAAACCAGCTGCCACAGAGAGGACTGGTCTTGCTCTCTGACAGACAGCACTCAGGGGGGGTGAGCATTATTCCTGCCCGGTCGGGTCCAATAGGGTCCCTTTAGAGGAGTGGCTATCTAACTTGAATGGGCACCAACGTCCGAAACTTCTGGAAGGTAAACAGAGTGCTGGGCTGCTCCCCAAACTCTGATTCTGCAGGTCCAGGATTTTAAAAATATGCAAGCAAGCGCCAGCTGGCTTGGCTCAGTGGCTAGAGCATCGGCCTGAAGGGTCCTGGGTTCAGTTCCGCTCAAGGGCATATGTCTGGGTTGCAGGCTTGATCCCCAGTAGGGAGCGTGCAGGAGGCAGCTGATCCATGATTCTCTCTCATCATTGATGTTTCTATCTTTCTCTCCCTCTCCCTTCCTCTCTGACATGAATAAAAACAGATGTTTAAAAAATATGCAAGCAAACCAGGCCCTACATTCTCCTGAGGCACAGGGTGACCGAGAGGGGGAGTGTCAGCAAAGTACTGCTGAGAACGCTGAACAGCTATTTTGAAAATTCTCTTCTACAAAGAAACGAGCTCCACTGCACAGCTCCCTGAGCCCATCAATGATGAGAGCCTGCAACCCAGCTGGCCACTTAGCGAGAGGCGGCTGTCCCTGCTCTGTCCAGGGCTAACGACCAGCCAGGCCGCGGGCCTCTGGCAGGGCCCAGCACCCAGCAGCTGAGACGTTCGGGACCCTAGAGCGGAGAGTACAAAACGCTGTATTCTGGGACAAAGGAACAAAGCACCGCGGGAAACAGGAACAGAACGAATGGACAAGCGGTCCTGTTGCTGCAAACACAAAGCAGGAAGCACACCCCGAGATAAATAAAAACCCAGACAAACGAGAAGATGGTGCAAACCCAGCTAATGAGGTGAAATTCTTCCAGAATAAAACCAGGCAGTTGCACAGACAGAGGCATAATAAAAGCCATAAATATCAAATGGCAAGGAATCGACTGGGTAATGGTGTAGTAATTAAAGCCTGGAGGTTCATAATAGATGGAGAATTGAACATTAATCAACCGGAAAGAAACAGGGCCCGCACTCTAATAAAGTGTGAGGAGCTCAGGGCCGTGGGACACACCCAGCAGTCCCGAGCTATGTGCCACGCCTGCCCTGGGACGCAGCTGGCGGCAGAGAAGGGAAGGGCCGATGCCAGTAGGATGACGTGTCTGTGCCCGCACAGGGACCCTGACGTCACTGCATCAGAGACCCGGCTAGCAGGCTCCTCTCTATGCCAGGACATGTGTCCCTGGGATCAAGGATGGTAAGATCTTTGCTTTTTAAAATTATTTTTACTGATTTCAGAGAGGAAGGGGGAGGGAGAGAGATGGAAACATCCATGATGAGAGAGAATCACTGGACGGCTGCCTCTTGCATGCCCCTTACTGGGGATCAAGCCCACAACCCGGGCTTGTGCTCGGAAAAGGAATTAAATCATGACTTCCTGATTCATAGGTTGATGCTCAACCACTGAGCCATGCCGGCCAGGCACAT